CTGGAGACCTGATTTAGCCAAGAAATGTGCAACGGTGTTGGCTTCTCTTGGACGATAGCGGAAGTTGATGTTGCGTGTGATTCGGTTGCGGTTGATTCTAGCCACAGTCTGCCTCAGGTAGTCAGGTACGGTTCCGATTCCGGCAATCAATTTTACACCACGAATCCATTTCATCAAATAACCGTTGTTCATGAACCAAAAACCTAATTGGATTCTACACAAACCACAACATTCACAACCTACAGATTTGCCAGGTCTCTGAACATGGTTCATTACTTTTTTGTCAAAATGTGATTAGGCTAGCTTGGGGCCCGGGATGTTACTTTTTTGGTTCATTACTTTCAGATTAACCTGGGAGGAACCGTGGGGACTGGATATAGCAAACGGCCCATCCGATTAGGCTAGCAAAAGGGTCAAAGTACATTGCAGGACGCGCATGTCAACCACAATGCTAATGGTATATTCTTATTCCTCTTTAATATTAAAAAAAATACCTCTCTAACTTAATCCCTGAACTGTTTTTTTATACACACACTAAAGATAAGAAACAAAAGACATTTGGTATATTAATATACAATAATCACACACCTCAGTCCACTAAAGTATTCATCTTTTCAAATAATAAACACCTCTTTTAAAACTTTTTTTTTGTTGCACAATATGCACTTAAACCCCAAAGGAAATCTGTTTATCAACCACAATAACAAAAATTGTGGAAGTTCTTTTTCTACAACTGATGATGCATTAATAGATAACAGACTCAGATAAATACATACATATTTTATCAAAATCTTCAAATAACCATTTCGTTGATCCTTTTCCTTATCTTGTTATTTCCCAATAATTTTCTAATTGGCTTTCAAAGACACCACACCTCTGTAATAATATATGCCAAATAAAAAATATATGCCAAATACAGCATTTAAACATTGAATTAAAAAAGTTTTAATTGCTAAGTATTTCATTATAGTAATAACGAACTTTAATTTGGAATGCAGGTCTAGGGTTTATTTTCTATGGGTGACATGTTTTGTTCTTCCTTGTCATGTAAAATTTATTTGATGTATCTCAATTTATATGCAAGTTTGAAATGTAATACTAAATAATTCAATCTGTTTAGATTATGATATAAATAGGACTGCAGTGGCACCAGAGATCCCAGGTATGTGTCTTGAACCCACCTTTTTTACCCATATTACAATTATAAAGCGTGCAGGCAATGACATTCTACTTGTAGAACACAGATTTATGAATTAGAAATACATCTAAACATGCTAGCAAGTGTACACTTTGATGATAAAATTTACTAATCCCGTGTCTCCCCACGATGAGCTCAATCAACTTCTTAGACCTCATTTTTGGGGATTGTCTTAGGGTCTTTATCCAGTTGTCCAATGATATCTGCATTTGCCAATAATTGATTAACAATTCAAATTACAATTTTTATAAATACTGAATTAAACAAACCTACAAACAGTCACTTCTGTAATAACAAATCAATGAATGCAGCTTTATCATCAATGACATCCGTTCCTGTAAAGCAGCAAACGGCACCAAAGATAAACAACTTTATCATCACATACATAACCAACCTCTAACAATTTTTTTTGTGATACGCATCTGCAGGAATTTTAGTCCGTTGTTTCAATATAAACAGTGGTTAAAACATGGGTAAAATGTAATGATGAATAAATAAGTTGATGAATGTTAGAGTAAATAAACATACCATATACAAAAGTTAAAAAACTCTTAATTTTGGGAAAAAATGTCTAGATATTCAAGGCATAGTATTAGGAGTTTAAGAGACTACTTCCTCACCTTAAACAGCTCTGATTTTCATCTTCCATGCATCATTTGTATTCTTCCATGACAAAAATCTATTACTTCTTTTGCTACTGCAGGTTGATATGCGAATGGATGTGATTCTAATGGCAGGGGAGTCTTGCTCTTATAACGGAACTTAACCATATTTTGAGGAGTTTTGCTTGTGTTTTTGTTTGATTCGGTTGTGATGAGCTGTGGGGATTAGAACATGTTTGTTGGTCCATTTATAGATGCGAGCATGGCCTAGGCAATGAAATGAAACAGTTTGCACCTCAAATTCAACCAATAGGAAATGTTTATGGCCTGGGGTAGTAAAATTTGAAATTTAAACAGTGCCCCCCAACCATCAATTATAATCCAACATGTGCACTGATTTGTTTAAACAGTAGCACTGATTTGTTCAAACAGTGCCACACCAAAAAATAGCCAATGAAATAGCCTCAAAGTGGGTGGGAAATCCAGGGCAAATCCCAATCGTACATCAACTTGCTCCATTCATTTAATCTCACGTATCACTATCACACGCAATCCTCTATTAAACCAATCCCATTTTATTAACTGAAAACTGGCTTAATTAACAATTTTAACACTAATTCTTGACAGCGACATTTCTGAGCGGGAATCCCAACCCCAAAACATTTTGCTATTAGATTATAATAGATTATCTTTTATTTGTCATTTGATTATACTAGCACAATTCTCAAGTTACAACTCTCAAGGATTACTTATCATTAAAAGAGGAGACCATATTCTTTTACCAGTATTAGTTTAAGCATTCCTGGCAACACTTGAAGTTCTACACTCCTTGTACTGTAAAGTATAAATAAATAAGGCTAAAGGGTCAAATAGGCCCTTGAACTGACTTAAAGTGTTCAATTAGCCCCTTACATAGGAGGTTCTGTCTGGCCGTCGCCAATTAGGGCGGTTCCCAGTGTAATTTTTTGATGAAATCTTTTGAGCATCTTCTTCATTAAGTTTAGTTTACTCATACCAAATTTCAGCTAAAAATTCAACCGGGAAGATAGTCAAATGGTTTTTTGAAGATAACTGCGAACTTAAACAGCGTAGTACATTTCAGAAAATCGTTTGACTGCATTCCCGGTTGAACTTTTAGCTGAAATTTGGTATGGGTAAACTAGACTTAATGAAGAAGATGCTAAAAAAATCTCATCAAAAAAATCCATCGGGAACCGCCCCAATTAGTGACGGTCGGGCAGAAACTCTTATATAAGGGGCTAATTGAACACTTTAAGTCAGTTCAAGGGCATATTTGACCCTTTAGCCAATAAATAACTAAAAGTTGAGATAGTTTTTTCTCGTGATCCCCCCCCCCCCCCCCGAATTTGGTAAATTCGAAGTCAATCACATTCCAGTCTTCTTGTTTTGGAGTTTGGGTTAAAGAAAGAATCAATTCGTTTTTGGATGAAAATAACAACTCTAGCATTGATTTGTTTGGCAGATTTCATTCTTTTGATTTTCAAGAGATTCAATGTTGAAAGCATATAGCTTCAAGGAGGAGCATACGAAAGATTGAACACACGCTTTTCAGCATTTTGGTAGTGGAAAAATATTATGTATACAGTTAGTTTGTAATTTCAAACATATCCATTATACTGATGAATAATGCTTCATTTGATTAAGCTACCGAAATAGCATTGGACATTTTCCCTCTCGCGCATCGTGCGTAAAAAAACTAGTAACTTGTAAAAGCTCCACACAACCTCTCTGCAGCATCATCCTTTCGTATCCACAACTCTTCCTTGAAACGTCACGGCGACGGTTTAGTAAGGAGACGCACCATCAATCATTTAACTTCTTCCTCCATCACCTGGATTTAGAAATTTCCAAACCTCATCCAACAAAGCCATCCACCCAGTCCCAAACTCTTCATTGTGAAGCTATACTAAAATTCCAACAATCGTCGTACATGGTAGCTCCTCTGCTTTTGTCAGATTCCAAGACAAATAGAATCTTTCTTCTCACAGATCAAGTGAATCAAAACTCTATTGTGGTCAGCGAACCTATCCTTCACGCAATCACGCGCTTCAAAACATCCCCTAGACTGGCTAGGTTTCACCTCTACACTGGAACAAACCAGCCTCACGTCCTCACTCACCGGACAATGGTAGAATCTGCCCGCCGGACACCAAAAACCCTAGACGACCTCTAGGTTACCTCCGCTGCTTTATTGCAATTTTGATCAGGAGTGAGCATGTGACGATAGAAGATGATTATTTCAAAAAACATGTCTTGTCCGAAAGTACGATTCATTTAAAAATTAAAGAATTGATATCGTCCTGACCATATATAGAACTTGTCCCGCACCGTACCAATTTTCAGTACGGTTCGATACAGTATTTCAGCACTATTTGATTCCAAAATAATTAACTCCCACAAAGTCAAAAAATATTTTAGGTTTTAACATTTCTAAGTAAATAATAGTACAAAAAAATAAAAAAATGGACTGTGCGATTGAAAATTTATTAACCCTGTGCAATCAGACTTGATTGAAACTCAAAACTAATAGTCAAACTATAATAAAATTACAGTCCCGATCTTCTGGAGGATGCAGAGCAACGAGCTTGCCGATAAAGTAATTCAACTAGGTTTAAGCGTTCTGTGCCGAAGCTATTACAAAGTAATTAAAATCTAGGCACAAAGAATGTGCATTATATGGTCTATACCAAAACTTTGAGTAACCACAATGTAGGTTATTGGCTAAATATAATATCAAAACTTTACTATATACTTAAGATTCTTTTGAAAAAGTGTTAACATATGTGTTTCAATGTAAAAAAGATATTATTTTTTTGCATTCTTTGCACTATAAAATCATATATTTTGTATGATGAATTTTATTTTATTAAGGTTACACAAAATGGAAGAAAGTTATTTCAAAAAATGTAACAATGCGTCAAAAATTCGGCAAGACTAAAATTAATATTTATGAATTTGAAGTGCTCCATTTACAACGGAAAAATAATAATTTTGCAATTTAAAATTAAAGAGTTAATACTTTAACATAAGAATAAATCTTTTTTTTTAATTTTGAATTTATAATTTATTTTTGATGTTTTTTGAAATTTATTTTATCTATTTAATTTTAATATAAGAGTAAAATTTATTCCTTTATAAGAACATGATAGGGTAGTTTTGCACTTTTTAAAAGTTTAGGGGTACATGTATACATTTGTTCCTTTTCGCTTTCTTTTATCAATTCTGATCGCCCATCGTCTTCTGTGGCCCTGTCCGAGTCGGTGACGCACTCACGCCGGTCGGTGCTCTCCGCAATCCTCCCAGTCTGCAACCAGCAATTCTCTGCCGCAGATCACAGTGAGCTACTGCCTCTAGTCGCTTGTCTTCTGATTCCAGAGTAAGCCTTTTAGTTTCATATCGTCAGTTTTATGTTAGCTATTTTTTTTCATCCATAATTTGAGTTTTTTTTTTTGCTATGAATCCCTATTGCTACCTAAAACCTACAATCTGGTTCATATTCCGATTGCTACCTAAAATGCCCAACCTAGTTTTTACTTTGAACGTTTAAAAAGCTGATTAAACAAGCAATGTAGCAGCAATTCAGATGGTTGCTAGCCTGTTCAACTTCCTCCCTTTTCAAGCATTACTCCACGAGAACGAAGTGTTATTTCAAATATCAAGTTAGGAAACACAATTGTTAGATGTTTTTGTCAATAATGGCTAGTCACAATTGAAGATGTATATGCTATCAGGCTCTTATTTTCACATTCTAGACTAGACAAGTATTCGTTGCTCTCTCTCTCTCTCTCTACACACACACACACAATATGTCACGCTTTTCACATTTATGTCACGGTCTCTTCAAATTTTGCTAGAAATTTGGCAAAGGAAATTGCAATATACATATATATGTTTGAGGGTTCTTCTGGTGTGTGGTGATTCAGTCACAAACCACACAAGCCAAAGTATTTTTACCTATACATGTTTTTATTTACTTAAAACAGTCTGAAATCTAGTAAACATCCCAATGAACAATGAAAAATATTATTATTATTATTATTATTATTATTATTATTATTATTATTATTATATCTTGAAATGCGTCTTCCTTGCACCAGAAGTGGGGAACAAATTATTGGCAATCTGGCAATAATTACTCTATGACTCAAGCAGGTATAGAATTCAGAATGGAAAATGAAGGGATTGCAAACTCGAAGAAACGAATGAAACCCTCTGTATGGTCTCTTAGCCTTCAGCCTTTTGAATATGTTTAGCATATGAAAAGTAAATTGCTTTCCAGATATCATGTTCTAACAGCAATGCAACCACTTATAGGCGGAAACTGAATCAAGCGAGTCTGAAGGTGCTATAACAAAGGTTGCAGAATATGAAGCTGCAGTAAACACCACGGTTTCTGAACAAATGGACCTAGAGATTGCTCAAGTTCATGAAAAGATCAATCGCTTTACTCAGCTGGTATGTTTTGGTGCTTAGATACCCCATTACCACCGTCACTGCAGAGGAAAACAAACTGATAAATGCAATAGATGGAAAAATGAATTATAATCCCTGCCTTGGTTTGCTTGGTCATACTGAATAGTGAATAGTGGTGAGAATATGGTTACATTCCTCACACAACTGTGATTCCGACAAAACAACTCTAGTTATGTCTTTATAAAAAAGTTTATGACCGACTTTTTGCCTGTTTACATGCCTACAATTATCATGATCTTACAAAGGTATCGGAGATGCTGGAATCAGGGAAGTCCATGCTGAAGGAATTGAGTAATGAATTTGAAGAACGAATGATTTTGTAAGTTGGGTAGTATAAGAGCCTGTTTGAGATGACTTACAGTAAACCGTTCTCCAAATAATTTTGAATTGAGAAAAGTTCCTTCAAGGTCTAACCATCTAAAAGCCAAATGTTACAGGTGTTTACTTATTTAAATATTAGTTTTTGAATTCAGTTCAATAAAATTGTTCTGTTCAGGAGAAGCAGGCCAGGGAACAGCATCATTTGCTTATGAGATTTGAAAAAGTGCTTCTATAAATAATGATTTCTCATTTGAGCATTAATACGGTGCTTTTTTAAACAAGTACAGAAGTGCTTTTCTACATTTAGAAGCATTTCTTTTCGCTCCCTTGAGAAATGCTTCTGTCTGAGAGGAGGCACTCCTATTAAAAACACTCATTGAGAATAAGTTCTTTTCCCAGCTAAGAACTGAACATAGACTTTTTTTCTACTATCATTCTGCAGAATTCATCAAGAACAGATGGAGAAGTGGCAGGAAGAAATCAAGGAACTGCGTTTGCTTGATGCCTCAAATGAGGAAGCTGATGCGGTTTTACAGAATGCCAAGTACCTATTTCGACATGTTCATGTTGACTCGTGAAGGTAACATTATCAATATAAGCAAATGGGAATACATCATATATAATGATCTGGCGGCTTAAGCTTTGTTGGGTTAAAATTAGAAGGCATATGGAAGACTGACTTTCTGCGGGATATGATATTATGAATGCTCTAGCATATGGACTACATTTTACAATATGTATAAAATGGTATCACATTCAACAATAGTTAGTTATTCAAAAGTAGTCCGTATTTGAATATTTACACATGAAAAACAAACATCATACCCCAAATCTAACGTGTAAACACCATCACACATACACATGCATGTATACTTCAATATATACAGAGAAAGATAGATTGTCCGTATACATATATTTATATACGTAGTATTAGTTCAGTACATTAGTGTAGGTACACACTACCACTACTACTACTACTATACGTACCCAGGTCAGTAGCCAACAGATATGAGATCAGGTGGCTGAGGCGCGATCTGGAGTTTTTTCTAGTCACATGACGCCGTCCCGTCTGATGTCAGGCAGCAACCAACTCTCCCTTATGGACTCTTCTTGCTTGACCTTCTTCACTTGACTATGCACAAAAGCATTTTGGGGACTAATCTGATCATCCCTCGTGCCCCACATTTGCCAGCCCTTCTCTCTCGCAATCTCCATTTTCTAGACTAAACTACTGCCAAGAATATTATTTAGACAAAAGGACGTACAGCCACCGTCGCTTGATCGATGAAGTGACTGACTCATTCAAGTCTTATCTTGGGATATCTATCCATATCACTATTCTACATAGTGTCATTAGTGTTTGCGTCATTAGATAATGATGTAGAAATTTTCGCTTGGCAGTTGGGTGGAAGTTGGTCGGTTATTTCTCTTCTGGATTGAGTTGAGTGTTGGTAACCGTTTTCCGAAGTTGCGGTATGTAGACCTGTCACCGGTTTCCGGTTCAACCGGAACCGGGGTAAGCTTACGGTTTGGAAGCGGAGGTTCTAGGTAAATCTGCAGAATCAGTCAATCCAGCCACTTCAAAATTTTGAGTTGAATTAGCCGATTCAGTGTTACCAAACGGGTTCTAAAAGATGAGATCTTCTCTTTCATTGTGTTTATATGGATAATAGATGTACTAACTACTCCGTATAATGTATGAATGAAAGTTCATAATAGATTTTAATAGTCTTATTTGATTATTATCATATTTTTTTCATGATTAATTATTTTTCAGATCAAGTGTTTTGAAGTTCAAATTAATTTAGATTGACTTCTTTCTCGTCTTGTAGATATACAAAATTTCAAAGTGACGTCTGACGACTAGAGCCGTCTATGTGATGCCATTTATCGCTTTTTTTTTAATATTAAAATATCAACGATTCATTTTAAAAAGCGGTTATCCGCGATTACCCGCGGTTATATTCGTTACCTGTTGCAGCGGATATGATTTGAGTAAAAATTACCCGTTGGGTAATGGGGCTGTTACGTGTCGGGAAAATTACCCAATGGGGTGGGTACATTTATATGTAAAATCGTCCCCAATCCGTCCCGTTGTAATCCCCAGAACAAATAGGTTTTGGAATTTCAAAATATGTGTGCTATGTTATTATTCTCGAAATAAGAGTAGCATGAGCGTAACTCAACTGGTAGCGAGGGAGTGCCACAAGGGGGAAGATCCCGAGTTCGACTTCCGGCAACCACGCTGAGAGGTTACTCGACCATAAGGACTTCTGTAAGTACCGGAGATAGAACCCCACTCTCCATCTGTCAGATTGTGATTATAGTCCAATTTACATCCTCCCATCATACCGTCCGGTCGGCGTTGGGGGGCCCTCAGGGATGGGGTGCCATCCTTTTTCTTTTTCTTTTTTCGAAATAAGAGTAGCATGACAATTTTCGAATATTTATTTTTTCGAATATTTATTATCATTAATGGTAGTATTTTTGAATCATGATGGTAACGACTCTTAATGGGAAAAAAACATTGTGGTCTTATATTGGAATTCCGAGCAGTGGCGGAACCAGAGATAAATTCAAAGGGGTACTCTTATATACATGGTATAATTTCTTTTACAAAATAATTTTTTATAAGGATAAAGGAAAAACAGGTAAAAACTAATCATTAGATATATAGAGTGCAACTCCATTAAAAAGGGTTGTTCCGGTGAAAATGTGAATGGGTACACTTTTTACTTATTCTGCTGCACTAGTAAATACTACATCCGTTCTTAAATAGTTAAAACATCAGAAATTTTATGCAATTCACGTGTTCTACTTTGACTATATTTTATTCACGAATACATTAATACTTTAATTTTTTAAAATATACTCCCTCCGTCCCACTATGATTGTCTCATTTTACCTTTTTGGTCCGTCCCATTAAGATTGTCACATACCTTATTTGGTAAAATTTGTGTGGTTCTAAATGATTCTTACTTTATTCTTACTTTATCAATTCAATATCAACCACATGAACCCACTTTTATTAATAACCGTGTCATCTTCTTTTGTCCCAAACTTAGGGGGACGGAGGTAGTAATTAAAGTGTTCCCACTTTAAATTTTAAAAATGTTAGTTTTCAAAAAAGGTAAAATAACTTTAAATAATACAAACTATCTTTCATCAACCAAGAATAATACGTACTTTGGAAATTACTTTTAATAATACCAACTATTTAAATATAGACCAAAAGTGATATGGAGCAACTTTTCAATGAAAATTCAGTTATTTAATTCATCAAAAACTAGTATCAAAATTTCAAATAAGTGAATGTTTTTACAAATATAATTTATTTAATAATTTGCTATTAGTTTTTAATGTCTTAAATGACTGGATTTCTTGTCAAAAAGTGACTCCATAAGTCCATATTATTTTTGGTTTATACTCAAATAGTTGGTATTTTTAAAAATCATTTTCAAAGTATGTATTATTATTGGTTTATGGGCAATAGTTGATATTATTTAAAGTTATTTTCCCTTTTAAAAATAATACAATCTGGGAATTAAAAAAAATTAATGGTTAGCATTGTGCATTGGCAAAATGAAAATGAAGGCGGTGCAACTAATAAACAACAGAGGAAGTATTTGTTTTTCACTTTTTCACGGTAAGAGAAAACTTTGAATTATTTACCATATTATCATCGCGTTTCTAATAAAATATCATGTTGTTATTCTCTAAATAAGAGTAATTACTGTTAATTTTGAAAAAACTCTCATGTTTAAGGTCTGATACTACCAAAACATGACTATAATTACTCTTATTTAGGGAGTAAAAACATGACAATACTATTTTGGAATACACAAACACTTGTAGTCCTATTTAAAACAATTTTCCAAAGGTGAAATCTGTTTTTTTTTTTTGGCAAATGGAGTAATTTGTATTAAGAAATAAGAATGTAAAACAAAATCTATAAAAATTTAAGGAGTATAGTTTAAACAACATCATGTCAAACAGTGATTCAATTGAACAAAATTAGTAGGCATGCGGCATATGTCTAAATATGAACGGCAGAGTAAAAAATTCAAAACTAAGCAAAGTGAGGGCTAATGCAAAGCAGAATAAAATGCAGCAGCATCGGGGACTCGAACACGGGACGTAGGGAAGGCACATATTCTCAGCGGCGGAACTTCCAAGTGAACCATCCTGACCATTGTTCAAATTCTTCCACCGGGGCGGTATTATATACGTTTTCTTAACGGGGCTGAGATATATACATATATATACACACTACCGCTGCCGGCGAACGGGGGGCGGCGGCACCGGCTCGCTCCCCCTGGTTCCGCCACTGATTCCGAGAGTTGTTTACTCTATTTATTTATGACAATTTCCGAATATTGATTACTAACAATGACTTCTTTGTGACGGATGAGATGAAGTAGGCCTGTAGGGGTCGGGTATGGGGGGTCACACACGATTTAACAGCTAGCTTTGCATGTATAATTAATAAATGTATGAGCAAATGACAGAGTAGATGAAGCTGCTAACAGTGTAATAACGCAAAATTCAAACAGATAGTTATGAAGTTGAAGGGTGGCCTGTGCATCTCATTCATATATCATTAAGACATTAACTAATTAATAATAATTAATAAAAGCATGAGAAGGTGGTTAGGATGGAATTAAAGAAGCGGTTGTCTCGGAACTTAATTTGATGTGAACCCCGCAGCCCTAATTCGGTTGCAAAATATATACACTTGCTGGAAACAAACAAAACCAATTAACCAATTAAACCCATCCAATTATATTCTAGCTGGGATATAATCATGAATTGCATGCATGCTGCGCTCCTAAAGGTAATTAGCTTAGCCAGCTAAAGAAGTGCATTCAACTCGGTCCTCAAGAACTCGATGGAACAGCTCGTCGGGGCTTCTTTGAGTGACAGTAGCTGATGATGATGATGGGGATGGGGCTCTTCCAATTCTCCCTTTCTTGAAGACTCGTGATCTTTCTTCTTCTTCGTCTTCTCATCCCCACCTCCTTGCTGAAGGGTGATCTGAGTTACCAGCACATCTAATGCTTCCTTCATCCACGGATGAAAGCATGCTTCTATCGCCTCACTATACGACACCTGCACCAAATTCAATTCAACATGCAATGCCGCATTAAAATTTTGTCAACAATGAATGAATGATTTATATATACCCGACTATAAATGACAACAGACGTATCACGTATGTACCCATAATCGTTGGCGTACATGTTTCTCAGGCCAATCATCTATCTCCTCCATAACAATCAAAGGCAACATGAAACCTTCATGTAACACTCCTAAGCTCTTGCTCTTAAAAAACCATTTACCTAAACATTTCTGCAATATTTGTATGTGTATGTATAGATGCATAAGTACTAGCTAGCTAATTAAGGTACACCCGGCTGATCGAGAATATATATATATAATAATGAAACAAACTAAACATCAATCCAATCTTCCTTCTTGATCCATGCATATATAAAAATTAAGATGAAGGTCAGTCGATTATGCATGGTATTACGTACCCCAACTTCTCCATAAATCCCAGCTTCCTCGAAGCTTTCTCGAATTGCTGCTTCTTCCAATGATTCATCCACTTCCCACCCACCCTGTTGTATTTCAAGAACCGTATGTACGTGTTAATGTGTAGTGTGTACGTACGTTGTTGAACACACAAACTAAAAAACCCATTTTGTTTACGCCAAGCATTTTTCTCTTTCTTATGCATATAGCTAGTGATAGCTAGTATGCAGTATAGTATTTTACTCCGTATAAATATATCACTGCACGTACCTTAGGAAACATCATCCTTGGACTTTTCTGAGAGCTGACAAGGAGGAATTCCAGATCATCAATGGGGCCGCGGGTCCCATGAATGGATGATTGCTTGGCTATCCTGTACGGAATGCAGCTGGATTGGCAAGAAAAGTCAGTCGTCAATACACGCCGGCGGGGCTAGCTTTTCTCTCCAATCACTTGGTCATAATAATTAATTAATAATGCTGCGTTCAAATTCCATTGGAACCTAGCTAGCTAGCTTTACGCCTTTAATGTTTGGATTGGATTACTGTGCCGGGCCTTTCATAACCACATATGAATGACTTACAAATCTAGCTAGAACCCTCCATTTTCCCTTATTAATTACTTACCCGACCAGCTTTACTTATAGATTGAAAGAAAGAAAATTAAAGAAGATGAAGAAAATGATACGACGGCCTATATATATATATATACATACCCAACAACTTGGCGGCAACCTTGAACATTATACCTCTGCAGGTCACGCCCGGTACGAGAAGGCAGGCACTCCATCTTCCTCAGTTGCATATTTGCACGCACAACAGTTCAATTAATGGTGATTGGTTTTGTTTATTGCTTACAGAAAGAAAAAAGAAGGATTGTTTTTTAATTAGCTAGCTAGGGAAATAAAGAAAAATCTGGATGAGAAAACTACAACAAGTGTTTGCGGGTGGATATGATGCCTTCTTTTTGCTGCTCCAACTACGCCTCTGCCCACTCCTTTAATAAGGAAAAAGACACAGCGTGGGGTTTGCGGGCTGGGGGGAGTTGGGGTCAATCATTAATTTATTATTACAGAAGTATTTATTACGTAGTATTATTGTATTGATTATTATTTGACACAATGACCAAAAAATCCTCTTTTTTCACGATTTTGAGATTCTATACTAGGGGTGGGCATAACGGTTTGGTTTAACCGAACCGTACCAAACCGAACCGTATGCAATTTGGTTTGAGTTTGGTACTATTTCTTTCAAACCGTATTAAACCGAACCGAAACCAAACCGAAACCGATAAAACTCAAAACCGAACCGAACTAAAGAAACGCAAAAAAACTTTCATATATTATTAAAATTGATGGTTTGATTTGGTTTGGTTGGGGTTTACTTAAGTAAACTGTTTGGTAAACATTGGCTCAAACAGAATGGTTTGGTACTTTGGTTTAGTTTGGTTTAAAACGGAAAAACCGTAAACTGAATCGAACACCGAACAACACACACACACATATGTGTGTGCAGTATGGAGATTGTAAGTTTGGTTGTACCAGTGAAATACGATAATGTGTTTGTCCATTATATGTATACATTAAGGAGGTTGTAGGTTTAGTGACTTGGTGATTTGGAGTGAAACATAACTGTCCAAACTCCTAAGCCCTCACCCACTTTTATTAACCATTTAAATCATTGCTATTTTGCTCATTGCACCACATGTAAATCACTACTTATATTTTATTTATGTTGGCACGTTGCTTGTTCACCATTGCTATTTTACACACAACACCAAAAAACTCTATTTTGATTTTATTGCTTTGTTTTAGTTTATTTGGTTTGGATTTAACCTAAAATAAACCATTTCAAATTAGTAAATGTTGACTTAAAAATATGAAATTATACATGATTTTTTTAACTTTATAAACCAAACATCAAACCGAACCGAACCAAAACCAAACCGAAATACATTTTTTGCCGAACCGAACAACTTGAAACCGAACCGAACCCGATAAAAACAGAACCGTAAACCGCCTCTGCCCACTCCTTTAATAAGAAAAAAAAACAGCGTGGGGTTTGCGTGCGAGTTGGGGGGGTTGGGGTCAATCATTACTTTATTATTATATTTATTATTATTATTATTATTGGTGCAGGAATTTGACAACTTATTCTACATTCAAGAGGCTTGACCACGGCAATAAATGACACACTTATTTGGTTTAATGCTAGCTAATTATTATAACGGTTTTATGTGTATTATTATAGCTATTAATGTAATTAAAGTAGCAATTACTTAGAAGGACCGACCGACATCAATGACGACATGAAGACGACTTTGAATGTCGTCATAACGGTCGAAACCATCAACAACAGACAAAAAGGCATTGATTGCCCCTCTTATAAGTAGCATCGAGCTCAACTTACATTCTATTTTGCTCTCTTAGCATCCTTGTTGTTCTTGCCATCTTTCTTAGTGTTCTTGTACGAAACCCAATCAATATATAATTTCCATTCTAATTAGTTTTAGTTTATCAAAATTTTGCTAAAACAATTTGGCGTCGTCTGTGGGAATCGTGCAACAAAAACTATCACCCATGGAAGGTCATAGCTCAATGTCAATGGCGGGACTCAAGATGCAATCGAAAGTTGGAAGGAAGAAATGAAACATATTATCTTGTCAACTGCTCATACGTCAACCGTCACCGCTGGTTTCATCTCGTTGAACTCGCCGACACCTTACGGACTTAAAAATGCAGGGGGCAACTTTCAGTGGCTAGTGACGACGGTGTTCAAAAATCAAATCGAGAAAATCGTGGAAGTGTGCATAGATGATGTGATGGCTCGTCAAAATGTACTATTGGAGCTTTCTTATGCGGTTGGGTACTTAGGCGCATTTTCAGAAGCAAAACAATCGCAAAGAATCCAAAAACAAAGGGAAACATTGACATCATCAAAATCATGACGACTTGTTCCAACGAATGTACCATCCAACAAGCTAAGTCCCGAGGGAGGAGAATACATAGGATGACGATCTGGCGGTTCTAGGGACGTGTCGGGCCTTGGAAGTCAGTAGAAACGTCACATTGGTGTATTTGAAAAAACCGACGATTGACATATCAGGCAACATGACTGAAATCGTCGGACAGGGGGCATATCGTCCAATGATAGACAGGTTCTGAAGAGCTGCAGTACGGTACTCTTAAAGTTGTTTCATTTTGAGGTTATTATTTTCTTTTATTATTGTCATGACTCCTGAGACGAGAGACGACATGGTTGAAATCGTCGGACGGGGGGCATGGCGTCTGATAACAGACCTAACGAGATGATTGAAATCGTCTGACTATTTACAGGTTGTGACGATATATATCTATTTAGTTTCATATATGTATTATTAATTTATTACTTTTCTTTACATATAACACGATCACTAACTTAAGCGTCGGAGGGTGGTTGGCTTCTAGCCAACGACCGACGTTAACGAATTCTTTTTTGCACAGCAACCGTTGACAATGGACAAGACGATGTCCTAACATACAAAGCCTTACAACACGTCAAAACACAATTGACGGGGGGCTTACGTCAAACCAAACCTTACAACACGTCAAAACACAATTGACAGAGGCTTACATAAAACAAAGTTTTACAACACGTCAAAACATAATTGACCGGGGGCTTACAGAATTTTAGGAGAAGAAGTGGGAGTTTTCATGTACGCTAAACATGAATATAAACACCACCGATTCTCCGCAATGTTTTGGCCAAAACTACAGAAATACATAACAGAAGCACATGCTCCAAAAGCATGACAATAGAAGCTCCAAAACATAAGAAGACAATACGAATGACATTGACACAAATCACAAACACTCATGTTGACAATATTGCTAAAAATACAAACGAAACGTTATTCAAAATTTTTGCAGGATATGGACCATGTTCACGCAACCCAACTCGTCATCTTCAACGACGGACGATGTTCCCTTTGCCAGCTGAAGTGTCGACATCAACATGAAAGATGTTGCAAATTTCTGTCACCTAGTCGTCAGCACAATTTTGGAGGGGAGAAGATAAAATGTTAGCTTTCAGTCCTCATTGATTCAGTCAAGGAGACGGGCTCAGTCGGAACTTACTTGAAATGCAATGAACCAAGGTGCGATGTGCATTTCAAATTTTTGACAAGTTGATGCTTAATAGGTCGACATATGCATGATACGCCTCAACTTCTCGAAAGGAGGCAATTGTTGGTGCAAGAATTTGACAACTTATTCTACATTCAAGAGGCTTGACCACGACAATAAATGACACATTTATTGGGTTTAATGCTAGCTAATTATTATAACGGTTTTATGTTTATTATTATAGTTATTAATGTAATTAAAGCAATAGTTACATAGAGGGGTTGACCGACATTAATGACAACTTTGAATGTCGTCATAACGGTCGAAACTGTCAACAACGGACAAAAAGGCATTGATTGCCCCTCTTATAAGTAGCATCGAACTCAATTGTAATAGAGGCACCTCATTCGAATTACACATCTATTTACATTCTATTTTGCTCTCTTAGCATCCTTCTTGTTGTTCTTGTCATCTTTCTTAGTGTTCTTGTACGAAACCCAATCAATATATAATTTTCATTCTAATTAGTTTTAGCTTATCAAAATTTTGTTAAAACAATTATTATTATTATATTTAATTATTTATTACTCCCTCTGTCCTCCTAACTTTGTGCCGTTTTACCTTTTCTGTCCGTCCCATTAAGCTTGTCCCATACCATATTTGGTAATATATGAGTGGTTAGAATCTATTCTGACTTTATTCACACTTTATCAATTTAATAACAACCACACAATTCTACTTTTTCTTAAAAACCACACTACACCCCTTTGTCCCAAACATAGGGGGACGGAGGTAGTATTATTTAAAAAAATGACCAACGAATCCTCTTTTTGCACGATTTTCAGATTCTATGGGCTTCGGCCTAAGGTGTTGTCTGCGGTGTGTTGTTGTGAAGATTGGGGATGAAATATATGAACGGGTTAAAATGGCGAATACATGGTAATTGTTGGATTTATCACTTCTATCGCAGTGTGTGGATAAACCTTAGTACTCCCTCCGTCCCTAAATAAACTTCCAACTTTTTTTTTCGTCCGTCCCAATTAAAACTTTCACTTTCCCTTTTTGACCAAAATGTGTGGTTCACAACAATTCTTACACATTTCTCTCTCCTCTGCAAAACTCTCCACCACACAATACCCTCTATCTTAAATTGTGTGCCAAACATATTTGGAAGTTTAATAAGGGACGAAGGGAGTAATAATTTTTCACTCCTAAATAGCAGGCAATTTGAGATTTGTCTAGCTTACCTATGTTCACTTCTTTTCTTGAAGTAGAGGAAGAGGAAAAGCCGACCACTCCTTTCGAAGTGATTTGTAAAAGCACAAGCAGTCTACAACAATTTTCACATACATTAGGAGTACCAACTTTCATTCATAATTGTAGAGCCCATTGGGTAATATCAAAATCGACTAAATCAACGGATTCTTGTGAAATTTATGAAAAATTGGCTGAAATGGCTGCATTGGCCGATTCTGCTAATTTATGAAAAAAGTATATTTAAAATATATTTTATTAATAAAATAAAGAAAAAATTATATGTAAAAATAGCCAAAATGGTCTTCTACGGTAACTTCAACCAATACAGTCAGAAAAGTAACTCCAACCTTACATTTTCTTATTATTACACAATTCAGCGTGCGAAATCAAAAGTTACGTGTTTAGTGAAAAAGTTGGATGATAAGCGTGATAAGTCGAAAAACAGGTTTACCAAACGGGCCCATAATGTTGTTAGATTTGATATTTGGCATAAAAGACTTTGTAAATGTGAATTATTTTACAAGTACTTGTAATGTCATTCTACGCTCATTCATATAAATAATGTTAATATTAAGTAAGGATGTGAGATATGTTAATAGTTAATGCAAGATGGTCACAATAAATGGTAAAAAAATCATTTGAGGATTTTTACCAAACACTTTGTATGTATGAATTAAGTTTTATTTTTCAATATCAAGAAACCCAGTTTTGTTAAATTCGGAAAGTGTTGATCATTAACAACATTCAACACATAAACAACAGTGAAT